AAAATCAAACACTTATGCTCATCAAAAGACTTCACCAAAAGAGTAAAAAGACAACCTACAGACTGGGAAAAAATTTTTGGCTACGACAAATGCGATCAGTGTCTAATCTCTAAAATCTACACGATACTACAAATCCTCAACAACAAAAAGACAAATAACCCAATTAAAAAATGGGCAAAAGATATGAACAGGTACTTTGCCAAAGAAGATATTCAGGCGGCTAACAGACACATGAAGAAATGCTCACGATCATTAGCCATTAGAGAAATGCAGATCAAAACTACAATGAGATATCATCTCACTCCAACAAGGCCAGCATTAATGCAAAGAAATACAAAATAATAAATTCTGGAGAGGTTGTGGAGAGACTGGAACACTTATACACTGTTGGTGGGAATGTAAAATGGTAAAACCACTTTGGAAATCAATTTGGCACTTCCTTAAAAAGCTAGAAATAGAAGTACCATAAGATCCATCTATCCTGCTCCTTGGAATATATCCTAGAGAAATAAGAGCCATCACACGAATCGATATATGCTTACCCATGTTCATTGCAGCACTGCTCACAATAGCAAAAAGATGGAAACAACTTAGGTGCCCATCAACGGACGAATGGATAAACAAATTAATGGTTTAGCCACACAATGGAATACTACACAATGATAAAGAAGAACGAGATGAAGCCGTGAAACATAACATGGAGGAAGCTGGAGGTCATTATGGTGAGTGAATTTAGTCAGTCACAGAAGGACAAATATTGTGTAAGACCACTATTACCAGAACTCAAGAAAAAGTTTAAACACAGAAGAAAACATTCTTTGATGGTTATGAGGGTGGGGAGGGAGAGTGAGTTTTATCTACTAACTAGATAGTAGATAAGAATTATCTTAGGTGAAGGGAAGGACAGCACACACTACAGGGGAAGTCAGCATAACTGGGCTAAACCAAAGCTAAGAAGTTTCCTGAATACAATCAAAAACTTTGAGGGACAGAGTAGCAGGGCAGGGGGCTGGGGACCATGCTTTCAGGGGACATCTAGGTCAATTAGCATAACAAAGCTTATTAAGAAAACGTTCTGCATCCTACTTTGTTGAGTGGCTTCTGGGGTCTTAAAAGCTCGCCAGCAGCCATCTAAGATGCATCAATTGGTTTCAACCATCTGGAGTAAAGGAGAATGAAGAACACCAAAGATACAAGAAAATATTAGCCCAAGAGACAGAAAGGGCCACATAAACCAGAGTCTTCATCAGCCTGAGACCAGAAGAGCTAGATGGTGCCTGGCTACCACCAATGACCACCCTGACAGGGAACACAACAGAGAGTCCCTGATAGAGCTGGAGAAAAGTGGGGTACAGAACTCAAATTCTAGTAAGAAGACCAGACTTAATGTTCTGACTGAGACTGGAGGAACCCCGGAAAGCATGGCTCCTTGAACTAAAGCCCAGAACTAAAGCAATTTCCGAGGCCAACTCTTCAGACAGGGATTGGACTGGACTGTGGGACATAAAGTGGTACTCATGAGGAGTGTGCCTCTTAGCTCAAGTAGATACAAGATACTAAACAGGCAACTTCTGTCCAGAGGTGAGATGGGAAAGCAGAGAGGGTTAGGAGGTGGCTGAATGGACATGGGGAGTCGGGGGTGGAAAGGAGGAGTGTGCTGTCACAGAATGGGCAGAGCAATTAGAGTCACATAACAATGTATGTATAAATTTTTGTATGGGAAAAAATTAAAGTAAATGCCCAGAAATGTCCCCAAAGTCCACTGACTGACTTTCCTTCTTCTAGTGTTGTGGCTCATCTGGTGAGGCTATCAACTTCTGAGATATTCCAGATTAAATGTTTAGTTTTATTAAAGTCTGTATTTGTGCATAACCTGATTATTTTTAGATCTAGAGTTCAATCAAATTCTTTTCCCCCCTCCAGTCATTAGCTCATATTGATTTACATGGCTGGATTTTAAAGGCTCAGTAAGAAACCCAGCTCCTGCAGAAGCATGGCTCATAAACTGATGTTTTGACCAGTTAAATTGGCTGGTCATTGCTCCATAATCTACTTCAGGAAAAAACTAGTCAATAAGGCCTCTTTCCTGAAATCTAATCCAGGCCTTGCATATTTCTTTCTAATGTTGGGTGTGTTCATGGTTCTCTTCTGTTGTGGGAACAGGAAACAGATGCTTCCAGAGGCTTTCAAACTTATAGAAAGTAAACACTTGAGCATTTGGTAGTGTGCATGGGTGTATGCTGTAGCCAGATTCCTAATCCGAACAATAACATTTAAAAACGGTATTAACACAGCTTCTTTTGAAACTAATGCTTTTTTTCACATTTCGTCACACAAAGGAAAACACAGGTCTTTGCCAATGAGATTAAGACGTATGCCTTCTTTTTATAATTTGGAAAAAAAATCAATATTAAAACAATTGAAACCTTATAAAACAAAATGAAAAAGAAAAATGTAGCAGTGTTATATGTAAAAACTATTTTCTAACATTTTAGCTATTGTGATTTTCTCATAAAACTTTCTGACCCATGTATATCTATGGTGTGTGTCTATACAAGCTTATAGTTATAAATAATGCATTTTATAGTCTACTCTTAAAAAGCATTATTTAGTATATACTTTTTCATCTTTCTGCATATTTATTTTTATTTTTAACAGGTAGAAAATTCCTTTACTGGGTTACCAGGCTATAAGGACATCCGTGTGCTTGAATTTAGGTAAATAGTTTACTCTAAAAATGCACATGTTGAGTGACACTCTTTATTTCAAATGGAATATCCTTTTGTATTTACCATACATACTCTAACAACAAATGGTTTGAATGCTGCACTTCATTGCTATTTCTGGTAAGTTAGCATTCTTAGTCATACATCTTCAGGTGAGGAAACTTAGAAAAAGGCAAAGTGATACGTCCAAGGAGACATAATAGGTCTGTGGTAGGACTAGGGTAAGAATTCATGTCCCCAGCTTATTGCTGACAAGTCACACAGCTGTTATTGGCACTGATGGGAGCCTGAAGTCAGATTAGTTGGAGCCTCAGCATCCTCCTAAAGCTTGTCTGTGTTCTACTGAGGTGGCTTTGGCATCTCTGTGTAAGGCCACTCTGGAAGATATGTTAGGCTCCATTAAACATAGCAGTTCTGAGTAAATCAAAGATGCCTTTTTATAAGGCATATCTTTTCTGCTTAAGACTCACAGCATAATATTGTTTTGGTGTGCCACTGAGTCGATTCCAACTCATAGCAATCCTATAGGACAGAATAGAATTGCCCCATAGGGTTTCCAAGGCTGAAATCTTTACAGAAGCAGACTGCCACATCTTTCTCCCATGGAGCAGCTTGTGGGTTCAAACGGTCAATCTTTCGGTTAGCAGCCAAGCTAAGTCGTTATCTTAACCACTGTGCCACCAGGGCTCCTTAGCATAATGCTAATAAACATTCATTGAGTGAATACTTTGTATTGAGCACTTGGGTTTCATGAGGTCATTTAATCTTCAACCTTGTGAGGACAGGGATTCTTATTACTAATGCTCATTTTAGAGAAGAAGAAATGGGCTTAAAGTAATTAAGGGTAACCCAAAGTCAAGGAACTTGTAACTTGGAGGCAGAGGGAGGATTTGAACCAAAGAGGCTGTCTTTTGTGCTCCTGCTCTTAACCTCCATGCTGGAGTCAGTACTGTGAATGTTTGGAGCATTTGGGCGATAACTGTGGCCCAGCCATTGAGGGTAGAGCATGCATGAGGCCACACACTGCGCAGGCTGACAGCCGACTTAACAGCATCAGCGTCTTAACTTTGGCATCTCTTTGTCAAAACTTCTGGGTTTACCAGAAAGAATAGCAAGTGCAGCAAGACAGCAGCAATTTACCTATGCCTCCTGCTTTGTTAAGAAATACTTTTAAAATACTTCGGGTAAATTATTTAGCTTGTTTGTTCCTCAGTTTCTTTTATCTGTAATATGGTGATACTAGTAGTACTTCTTTCATACAGACTTAAGGAAGATTAAACGAATTAATTTTTGTAAAATATTTAGCACAATTCCTAGCATACGGAAAGTTCTATTTAAGTGTTTGTTACATAAAAATAAATAAATACTAAAGGTTATGCAATATTATACAGGTTAGTCAGTCCTCAACCCCTTAGCACCTTACTGTGTCCCATCTGATTTTCTTTAATTTATTTTTTCCAGTTTAAATGCAACATGTTGTTGTTGTTGTGTGCCGTTGAGTCGATTCTGACTCATAGTGACCCTGTATGAGTGTAGAACTGCCCCATAGGGTTTTCTAGGCTGTAATATCTATAGGAGCAGATCAACAAGTCTCTTTTCCTGTGGAGCCACTGGTGGATTTGAACTTCCAACCGTTCAGTAAGAAGCCAAGCACTTGACCTTTGCACCATCAGGACTCCCTTAAATACGACATAATCCATGGTAATCACCAAAAAGAGAGCTCCCAATTTTGTTAATGCCAACAACTAGTGTCCTCTGTTAATCTTCTGAAAAAGTTTATTTATAAAGGGATAAGCATATATGAATTATTTAAAAAGTATTTTTAAACAAAGTTTTAAAAACAGTAAAAACCATTGGTTTTAAAATAGAATGTTTTCTCCACCTTTGCTTTTTCCTTCAGTCTACAGGAATTTGTCAGTACTGATGCTATGCAAGCATTTTTATTAAAGGAAACATTCAAAGAAAATCAGAGGAAATATACTAAGAACTTGTATTTTAGTGAATGATGTGACTGCTTGTCCAACCCTGTTTCACGTTTTCCTTTTTTATTTTCAGGTCCCCCAAGGAAAATGGCAGGTAGGGTGCTTTTTGGCATTTTCTATACTATTCCACTGAATCAGGAGATAGTTTAGAAAATATGGCAGCCTAGGTCCCAGGGAGCATGACTCAATGCTTCTATCACTTCCAATATCACTACCCGTCTCCATCTTATAAATCAGGTGTTGACAACCTATTTCTGTTAAGGGTCAGATAGCAAATAATTTAAGCTCGGCAGGCCTTGTGGTCTGCTACAGCTACTCGACTCTGCCGCTATAAGGCGAAAGCAACTATAATACCAAAAACAAAAAAACCCAAACCCATTGCTGTTGAGTAGATTCCGACTGATAACGACCCTATAGGACAGAGTAGAATTGCCCCATAGTGTTTCCAAGGAGTGGCTGGTGAATTCCAACTGCCGACCTTTTGGTTAGCAGCCTGAGCTTTTAATCACTGCACCACCAGGACTCCTAGCTATAAGACAATACATTGCAAATAAACGAGCGTTGTTGTGTTCCAATAAAACTTTGTAGATGGACACTGAAACTTGAATTTCATATAAGTTTCACACGTCACATAATATTCTTCTTTTGCTTTTTTTTTTTTTTTTTAAAACCATTCATAAATGTGAAAACTCTTCTCAGTTCGTGGGCAGTGGGTTGAATTGAGCTTACAGGGTATAATTTATAGACTTTGTTATAGACTGCTGACTGACATGTACTTTTAAGCATTGAGTTACACTTCACAGAAAGCAAGAAAAATAACTTGTATTAATGTAAACACTTTCAAGTACACTATATCATTCAATGATTATCAAGCACATTTTAAGTGGTAAATAAAAGAGAGAAAGGAGCTGGTATCTATAATAGTTCATTTGCAAAAACAGTTGCTGTCTGTAATGTCTTAGCAGAAGGATAAATAAAAGTATATGCTTATTGTTTTTGCTGTTGGATTCCAAATTTATTTAAAGTTTGTATTATCTTGGATAATTGATAAGCATACTATGGGATTTATAAAGCAAATTCATAGGATAAATATGGTCATATTTATAGATATAATAATATTTCTTCATTGTAGTATCTTATATTTGAAAAGAACTTTCTGGCTTTCTCATTTTCATTTACAATATTTTAACAAGTAATAAGTGCCTACTGATTGGCATATAAAAAGGAATAACTCTCGGTTTCTACCTTCTAGGAACATACAGTTTAATGAAAAGTGCTTTCAGACATATGTCAAAATGCTGTTTTTTTTTTTTTCTCTTTATTTTATCTTGCTAGTATCCATGTGAGGTAGTAGAAATGAGATTTCATTCTCTTTTTGGAGGTGAGGATATTGTAGCTCAGAGAGATATATTGACTTGTTATAAGTTATATGACTTGGAGGTATCAGACGTTTTGATCAAAGTAACCAGCATTTGGGTTCCTGTACTCTTGTGTATGTAAAGGTCCCTAGGTGGCACAGATGGTTTGCGCTCGACTACCAACCTAAAGATTGGTGGTTTGAACATACCCAGTGATAACATGGAAGAAAGGGGCTGGCAATCGGCTTCTGTTAAGATTTTAGCCAAGAAAACCCTACTGATCCGTTCTGCTCTGTAACACATGGGATTGCCATGAGTTAGAATTGACTTGATGGCAACCACCACCAACATCAGTGTATGTATACTTCTCTGTGTGTATGCATTTATGATATGTGTATTGACGGTCTGTACTCAACCAAAAAGCCTGATTGTTTAAGTGCTGCCCTTGGTTGGGGCCTTAGGCTGTGAACCCAAACTGTGATGTTAACTCTGTGATCAAAAGAATGGTATCCAGTTGCTGAGTGCTAATAGTCCTCTATAGGGACACAGACAATAATTCAATAAGAAACAATTTGATTTTGTAATAGAAGTATTACTCTAGGTACAGTTTCCACATTTGTTCAGCATTGTCAGGTATTATTAACAAGTTAATGGAATTTATTCTTAACTTTTTGGTATTCTGAGTTGTATATGAATAAGTGTGTGACACAGAAATAGTCTATTTATTGTTATAAATATCTCTTTTTTGTATACATGCACACACATATATATCCACAAGCATTTATGTGCACATGAATTTTCTATTTGCTCTGTACCTCTTTCAAGATGTACACATCACATTACAGCTAGTAAAACCTGTTTGAAGTGAATCAACAATGTATCCACCTGGTATACACACTTTCAAGATTCTCCTCCTGACTTTGTAGGTGTCTGCCTCCTTTCTAATAGAAGGAGACATGCCAATGAAGAAGGGATGTCTGAGTTTCTTTGAAATGTCCTTGTTTTGGATGCTCTTTTTAAAATATGCACGTGTTAAACCATCAATCAGGGCATCTGAGGGGAGAGAATAAGAAAGGGTGAACTTCACCTCTGCATGATTGATACCTCTGGGAATAGCTGTTGGGCAGAGAATTCTCTTTTAAATAGCAGCTGTTGCAGCCCAGTTCAGAAGATGAAAGAAGATGATAAGTGGTGGTTGGTTAAGGTGGAGTTGCTGAATACAGGCAGCCACCACAGCTTTCTCCAATCGGATGATATCGTTTTTGTCCACCAGTGTGTATTCTGTTTCTTGAGTACCTCCTTGGCCTCTTGGCTTTCTTTTATTCTGACCCTCATTCCTAGACATGGTGTCTAAGACCAGAACAGGTCTCTGTACTTCTAATACTGTGCCAGAATTCAGTCTGTTTATGGTCACGGTGAAGTTGCTGGCCCTGAGAATAGATGGTCTCCTGATACTTTAAGCATTTTCTTGAGTACTCTTTCCAGAACAAAAATATGTTAATAAGTTGCAGCATATCTCTGAGGCATTTTATCTTCTTTAACAAATTTATCCTCACTAGAGAAGGTAGATTATAAGTGTTATTTTCAGATGTCCAAGAGAAATATTGGAATAATATTTTGCCAGTAAAGAGTAAGGCCCATCAGTAACCTAACTCAAACTGTCTGATTTGCAGACATTCCTTGATTCAGGACCATTTCTCTTGATCTTCTCCCTCTAATATTTAAAACTTATTCTGGATACATGATAGGCTTTCAGTAAATACTTGATTCTCCTTGCTCGATTTTTCTGCATAGCCCAGGAAACATCTCGAGTGCTGACACAGCCTTTTCCCCTCTCCTCTCCTTTCCTATGTTTGCTTCTTTTTTTTATTATCATTTCTTCCTGTCTTAGATCTGCATTAACATTACAAGTCAGTTTAATAGCTTGTGTAAAGAGGAGAAGCCTGCCTTTCCTGTGATGAGCTTATGAGGTGTGGGGCATGCTCCAGAGCAAAAATACACACCCTCATAGAGATGGATTGTTGGCTGTGAAGCAATGTCCCTAAAATGATTACTCAGAAGGTACAAACATATGAAGATAATATTTATGTTCTTTAGGGTGAAAAACTATTCTTTCATATTTAGAGACTAAAATGCATCAGATTAAGTCAGGAGTATCACAAAAACATCACACACTTTCAAGTGGCATAAATTAAATTGTCTTATCTGCTTGCATTGTTGTTGTTGTTAGGTGCTGTGGAGTCGGTTCTGACTCATAGCTACCCTATGTACAGCAGAACAAAACACTGCCCGGTCCTGCGCCATTCTCACAATTGTTGCTATGCTTGAGCCCATCTCTGCAGCCACTATGTCAGTCCATCACATTGAGGGTCTTCCTCTCTTTCATGGACCCTCTACTTTACCAAGCATGATGTCCTTCTCCAGGGACTGGTCCTGATAACATCTCCAGAGTACATGAGAGAAAGTCTCATCATTCTCACTTGAAGGAGCACTCTGACTGTACTTCTTTCAAGACAGACTTGTTCTTTCTTTTGTCAGTCCATGGCATATTCAATGGTATATTTAGTACTCTTCGCCAACACCATAATTCAAAGGTATCAATTTTTCTTCGGTCTTCCTTGTTCATTGTCCAGCTTTCGCAAGCATATTAGGCGATTGAAAATATCATGGCTTGGGTCAGGTGTATTTTAGTCCTCAAAGTGACATCTTTGCTTTTTAACACTTTAAAGAGGTCTTTTGCAATATGTTGTTGATTTCTTAACTGCTACTTTCGTGGGCGTTGATTGTGGTTCCAAGTAAAATGAAATCCTTGACAACTTTAGTCTTTTCTCCATTTATCATGATGTTGCTTACTGGCCCAGTTGTGAGGATGTTTGTTTTCTTTATGTTGAGGTGTAATCCATACTGAAGGCTGTGGTCTTTGATCTTCGTCGGTAAGTCCTTCAAATCCTCTTCACTTTCAGCAAGCAAGGTTGTATCATCAACTTAACGCAGGTTGTTAATGAGTCTTCCTCCAGTGCAGATGCTGTGTTCTTCTTCATACAGTCCAGCTTCTTGGATTATTTGCTCAGCATACAGATTGAATAGGTTTGGTAAAAGGATACAACCCTGACACACACCTTACCTGACTTTAAACAACCCAGTATCCTCTTGTTCTGTTCAAATGATTGCCTCTTTGTTTAAGTACAGGTTCCTCATGAGCACAATTAAGTGTTCTGGAATTCCCATTCCTTGCAATTTTATCCATAATTTGTTATGATCCACACAGTCGAATGCCTTTGCATGGTCAATAAAACACAGTAAACATCCTTCTGGTATTCTCTGTTTTCAGCCAAGATCCACCTGAAATGACATCCCTTGATTCATGTCCTCTTTTGAATCCAGCTTGAATTTCTGGCTGTTCTCTGTCAATGTACTGCTGCAACTACTTTTGAATGATCTTCAGTAAAATTTTACTTACATGCGATATTAGTGATATTGTTGGATAATTTCCACATTCGGTTGGATCACCTTTCTTTGGAATGTGCACGAAGATGGATCTGTTCCAGTCAGTTGGCCAGGTAGCTGTCTTCCAAATTTCTTGGCATAGATGATTGAGCACCTCCACTATTGCATCGGTTTGTTGAAACATCTCAACTGGTATTCTGCTAATTCCTGGAGCCTTGGTTTTGCCAATGCCTTCAGTGCAGCCTGGACTTCTTCCTTCAGTACCATTTGTTCTTGATCATGTGCTACC